TACGTCTTTACGTCTCTACGTCTTTACGTCTCTACGTCTTTACGTCTCTACGTCTTTACGTCTCTACGTCTTTACGTCTCTACGTCTTTACGTCTTTACGTCTTTACGTCTCTACGTCTTTACGTCTCTATGGTTCAAAGCATAAGAAAGATACTCTAACCAAACTTTCACTTTTTACTTATCTTACACATGCAAGCACCTATGGTTTTTTTATTTATTTATTTATTTATCTACTTTTTTTTAATTCTTATCATATACACAAAAGCAAATGCCTCGTTGAGACACGAATGCAAAACAGAAATAGTGAAGCAAAATGGAAGGCATCTTTACAAAGTTATGAGAGAAGTGACAGAAAACAGCATTCGTCACATTCTGCTTGTGCTTTAGATCTTCAGGATCAGTCATTCGTTTGATCGCATCGATTCGTATGCTAAAGCAAATATGATCCATTCTATCTAGAATCTATGTCTCTCTTCTTCATACCACTACATGACATCATCCTTCCATATCACCGATAAAAAAACATTAAAGTTTGTTTAGAGTTAAAGAAAAATGCTTTTTCGTATTCAGCACACTTGATAACCTGGAAAATTTTCTACTTTTAGCGAAGGGTACCGCCAAAAAGTTAACAAAAATTTTCAAACAAATTAACGCAGAAAAATCCCCATGGTAAAATTATACAATTTTGAAAATTTTTCTTAACTTTTTGACGGTACCCCTCGCTAAAAATAGAAAATTTTCCAGATTATCCAAGTGTGCTGAATACGAAAAAGCACTTTTCTTTAACTCTAAATGAACTTTAATTTTTTGTCGGTGATATGCTAATTCTTGTTATCTACACGTTTCTTCTGTAAATCTATTTAAAGATTATAAAACTTATGTCTGATGGGTCCAAAAATCCACTTAAAATATGTTCAAGATGTAAGTAAACTAGAAAGAGTTTCTAGTAGTATTTTCTGTTCTTCCACATGTACAACCTCTACATTTGCATGTAGTTCCATGACAGGAGTCGGTTCCGTATTTCTGAAATCGGCACGACTTTTTACATGCAAATCGTTTCAGGACAGGAAGTAAGTTCCTGTTCGCAAATAAACAAAATAGACAATAATCCTGATCTATCATAACCTGTCCTCACAAAAACAACTACCACCTAGACGTTTTTCGACTGCTGCTGCTGCTATATCTTCATTTAATTCGTCGAACCGTTTTCTTCTTCTATCTCGTTTTCTTCCAGGTCATTGAGAAAACTGTTGGGATTTTTCACAATAATTAAGCTAGCAAATAGGGAACGCAACATATGGTTAGGGAAGCCGTCAAAACTATGAACGAATCAATCGGATAAAACGAATCATTCGCATCATTCGGATCATTTGTTAATGTGAAGCGCTCCTCTGTGATATTTGTATAAGAGAGAAAATATATAAAATCTATCTTTTCTTATCCATTTTACTCATTTTTCCCAATAGATAACTTTTTATTAACTCTTACATATAACACATCAAAGAACACATTAACTGTGCTAATTAATTATAGGAAATATATATATTCTCTTTGGCCTTATCACTTGCTAATGTGGTCTTAAACAAATAGTAAGAGTGATTTTTCGCCACCGTTGTCATAGTGGGTCTGTTCAAGTATTACATGGACTAATAATAGAATCGACTCATGATGTTGCTGAACTACCCGCAAAATGCCTACATTTTCTCTACATTTCACTTTGAAGCTCCGAAATATTTTTCTTCTGATTCGGCATAAAAAAAAAAATTTAAAAATGCATTTTACGAGCTCGTAGCCTAGAACTTGGCCTGACAGCAGACTACAATACAATTTAGTTCACCTTCCAACTTCAAAGAAAGTCATCTGTTTGATCTTTCTTCCTTCTTCGCGCTTATAGAAGTGAACATAGAAATCAAGAAAACGAGAAAAGAACAATTTTTCTATTTTAATTTAGATAGTCGTTTGTTATAGAAGCAGTGCTCATACTGTATTCTAGCAACTTCGCGAATTAAAAGTAAATTAACTAGGGAGGACCCTTTTCTACTTTTTATACTAGTTTGAAGTACACAAGTTGTACTATATACTGATGTATTTTCTAGAGAAAGATTCCTTTTAAGTTTTTGAGGTATGTAGCTCTCAATATTGATGATCCACGTTTAACAAATCATACTTCTTTTATATACAACAGCTACATAAACTCTTTTTGCTTATCATGACTTTTCGGCTTTTAAACTTTACTTATTCAGTGAAGAATCACATAAAATGAAATAAAGTAGAAATGAAAAATATCAAAATAAGATTAAATCAAAATCAGATTTTTCTTTGAGATTTTTGTATATTCGGAATCAGTTATCGCGTGGTACAACATGGTTCGTGTATATGTATATAGAACGTTATTGCTCTTTAAAGAACAAAATAAAGAAAGGCAAAATTTTATGTTCTTATTGAAATTTATTCTATATTCAAAGAAGCAGTGTTGACAGTGCATTTATTCTATATTCTGTCCACTTCCCGACTTAAAACTACAATAACTAGAGAGGATCCTTTTCCACTTTTTATACTGATCTGAAATACACAATTTGTACTATATATTAAGATACATTCCAGAAAAAAGTTCGTTTTAGTTTATAAGATATAGAGCTATCTATATCACAGATTAAAGTTACTATCCATTTCGAAAAAGAAGTCAGTCACTGACAACTGAGGCTAATAACTTTGCACTGGAAGATGCTGGAGATTTGCGGTTTCCGTTATCTGAAACTAAAATCTTGGGATAACAAGAAAATAAGAGAAAAAGTTTTTCCGAGTACTTTCAGGTGGTGTACCTTGGGTGGACACTTTGTAAGAGTTTTCCGGCCACTAAAATATTTTCGGATTTTGAATTCCTAGATGTCGAAAAGATCGCCCAACTCAACTTCTACAAGTCTAGACTAGTACCAGCTCGCTATCTCTCGTGGTTCAGGAGTTATAAAGGTTTTCCGCGGACATGTCTATCTTTGTCCGGACGCGGTGGAGAACCTGGAAAAGTGGTGACCGTCCTTGCCTATTTATAATGTAAACAAACATCAAAGAGCTAAACACCAAATATACATTAAGCTGTTATAAAGTGGTTATTTACAGTTACGGTTAACCATTCCACCAGTTATTATGGTCACGGTTATGACTGGTACGGTTAACCGTAACCATTGCATGCCTAGTAACATCTCTAGACTCTATAACGAAAATCCATTCTCAGCAATATTGAAACCGAAACGTTTTACGTTCGGACAAAAGGTGTGCTCCCTCTTAAGTCAAGGTGCACATTTCTTTTCGATTTACAGTTTACAAATGCTGACAAAATTTCTTTATTTATAATTGCACAACAAGTACGAAAGTCCGTGATGTCATGGCTACATGGAAACTCATATGATGTAACAGCTACGTGGAGAGAAGCAGAAAAGAGAAGGAGAAATGTTCAAATCTTTTTCTGGTACGAAACCTATCCTGTTAATCATACATGGTTTTTTCTTTTATAAGCCATATTTTATTCAAGAAATATCAACAGACTTCGACAGACAAAATGGGAGCTGAACCCCGATTATATCTTCCTGTCTAAGAATAATAACAATAAAAAAATAATCATCAAGTATTAACAAAGCAGAACATAAAAGAAAAGATAGAAATAATACTCAGAGTGGAAGAAGAAAAACGATTCATAGATAATAAATAGTAAATGAAAAAATATTTTTATTTTCGTTTTCTACTTCTCGCCACGTATTTGTTACATCATATGAGCTGTCATGAAATCATATCCTCACCTATGCTTTTGTACTCGTTGTGCAATTATCAATGATACAATTTATAAAATATAAAGCGAATTTAACACAATTACATCTTTTTTTATTTGAAAAAACTATACTTTTCATTGTAATCAGATAAGAAATTTACTAAAAGTATTTATGGAAAAAATTGTATCGGCTCTTTTAAATGAACTTAAATTAGATGATAATCAAATAACAAATATTTATAATTATGGTTCATGGGTTTATGGTACGAATCATGAAAAATCTGATCATGATTTTCTTATTGTAATGAAAAATGAAAAACAAAGAAAATATTTAAAATTTAGAAAATATTTTGATTATTTTCATATATTTGAATTACATCGATTAAATAAATGTGATATAACGATATATTCATGTGAAAATTTTGAATTATTATTAAAAAAAAATTATATGTTAGCTGTAGAATGTTTATTTTATCCAAATGAATTTATTTTAAGAAATAATATTGATTATAAATCAATTTATTTGTCAAAATATTATAATCCATTAAGATTAAAACAAGTAACATTTTATGAAAATAATTATAGTTTTAATAGTCTAATAGATGATGATGCACGTTATCCAAATTCTTCTCAATCAAAAACAAGTTTCAATCCTACAATTGATCAATTTTTATGTGATGCTTGTCATACAACAACGTTAGATGAAGATCGATCACTCAAACATTTATTTCACGGTCTAAGATATTTAGATATTGGTGAACAATTAATTCAGACAAAATCGATTTATGATTTTAAACGTGTATCACATGTTCTATATGAAATAAAAGATATTTATATAAATAATAATAAAAGTGTTGATTTTGTTATTGATTATCTTAAAATGAAAAGTGGTGAATATAAAACGATAATGAATAAACTTGTACCAACAAATGTGATAAATGGAACGTTTGAAGTTCATATTACAGTTGAAAATAATGATATGGAACATTTTTTAAATGTATGTAAAATAAATAAATTAAAATCAATTTTTATTCATTTAAATAATGGTAATAATCCTAAACAATTAATGACATCATCATATCATGTTGGAACATATTCTAATATTGTTGAAGAAATTAAAACATTGGCCAATATACAATTTAAAGATTTTAATATAATAAGATTAAAAATAGAATCATTACCATCAAATAATGGTATTCCTGAAAATGATATTGATAAATTATTATTTTGGGATATAAATTCAAATTATTTTGAATTTCATTATAAAATATTAATTAGTTCACTCAATCAATTAAGACGATTAAAAAAGTTATGTATAACTTATGAATTATATTTAGCACGCAATGCATTTAAAACGATATCAATAAATGAAATGTATTATATTATAACAATGAGATTATTTAACGTTAGTAGAGTAAATGCATTTATTAGAAATGATACTATTATTAATTATTTGACTATGAATCATTTTCCACCATTGAAAGTAGAAAGAGAATTTGTAGTTTATGATTCTAATATTGATTTGGATAATGGATGGAGTCATACACGCAACGAATGTGAAAACGGCTCAACCAAAACCAGTACCGGTTCCAAATACCGAATCGGTTCAAAAAATCGAAAATTTTTTCGGTCAGGCGATTGATAGACCCATCCTTCTGACCTTTTATTGTTCCTGATTGAAATCGGTCTCCTAAAGATCAAGAGAACACGATTTCTTCGGAATATACCATCGGGAAATGTGAAATCTTTCACAATTCTACAACACGTCAGATAATGTACAGCAGACATTTTCTTACCATAAGACACATTCGTTGATAACGATATATTGTACATGACTGCTGAAATAAGATGTGAATAATAACATTATTATTGTATATGAACAATTTCTCTCATGCCTAACTCGATTGACGAGTCGTGTTGTATTTGGGTCATTTCAGCCAAAATGAGACACGACCATCTTTTATTTGACTTTGATTCTTGACAAGGGTTATTTTTCTCCTCAAACACTGAACAAAAGGGGACGAAATTTTTGTGGTAGAATGCTTGGTTTACAAATAGATGTGTTCAAAATAGATGTCGTGACTAGGTATGTTACAAACCCAAACCCAAGTCCAGACTTGGGTTTGGGATTGGGTACCCAAGTCTGAGACTTGGGTTTGGGTATTGGGACCCAAGTCTGAGACTTGGGTTTGGATATTGAGTCAGACTTGGGTTATTAAAAGACTTCTTTTAACTGAGATACCTTCTTTTGTTGTGGCTCTTTGAGAAAACAGGATGTAAAATGTTTATTTCGGCCTGTGGGCATACGTAATGCCTTACGCTAACGATAAGAGCTCATTTTGGATTAGTTCAAATATCCAACAGTTGAATGTTTTATTCTACTTATCTTGTTC